GAGAACCAATCAGCATAGATCAGCATGGTGTAAAACTGGAATTACAAAGCAGCACACAGAAGGGATCAGCAAGAAGAACCACTGCGCCCAGCAGGGGATGCTTATCAGTCCAGCAAACAAATTATTTGCTCTTTTGTAAAGTTCTAGGTGTAACAAAAAAGCGTCACTTTCAAGTAAAAACAACTTTTTTTTTCTCAGTCACTGATAACATGGAGCTACGGCAATCTGGCCCCAAGTAAAACGTAAATCCCACACACCAACCCCCATACATAAATAGTATTCATTGTGTGTGGCTTTACTCTCAAATTCAACAAAAACAGCAATTTGCATTTTTCTTATTAAATGCTCAGTGTCCTCAGAGATTTCACCATGAACCCCCGAGTGTTAGTGTCCTCAGAGATTTCACCATGAACCCCCGAGTGTTAGTATCCTCAGAGATTTCACCATGAAGCCCCGGGTGTTAGTGTCCTCAGAGATTTCACCATGAACCCCCGAGTGTTAGTGTCCTCAGCGGTTTCACCATGAACCCCCGAGTGTTAGTGTCCTCAGAGATTTCACCATGAACCCCCGAGTGTTAGTGTCCTCAGCGGTTTCACCATGAACCCGCGAGTGTTAGTGTCCTCAGCGGTTTCACCATGAACCCCCGAGTGTTAGTGTCCTCAGTGGTTTCCCCATGACCCCCCGGGTGTTAGTGTCCTCAGAGATTTCACCATGAACCCCCGAGTGTTTAGTGTCCTCAGTGGTTTCACCATGAACCCCCAGGTGTTAGTGTCCTCAGAGATTTCACCATGAACCCCCGAGTGTTAGTGTCCTCAGCGGTTTCACCATGAACCCCCGAGTGTTAGTGTCCTCAGTGGTTTCACCATGAACCCCTGGGTGTTAGTGTCCTCAGCGGTTTCACCATGAACCCTCGGGTGTTAGTGTCCTCAGAGATTTCACCATGAACCCCCGGGTGTTAGTGTCCTCAGAGATTTCACCATGAACCCCGAGTCCTCCCGAGTTCATGTCCAGTTAGTTCTGTTTCTGCTTCCCCTTCTAGTTAAACACAAACTAGGAACACAAACAGATCCCAGTTCATATCACTCAATAGGTGACATATACAAAACATTGGCACAGCTTTCCTGGTTAATGATCACTAGGCTGAACCTTCTCTCTCAGTTCTGTATGCTGTAAGCTACT